AGGGAAAGAGATGGGGGGAGGGAGAGAAACATCAATTTTTGTTGTTCCATTTGAGCATTCGTTGGTTGGTTCTTTTTTAAAAAAAAAAAAAATGTATTTTTAACCCTAGCTGGTTTGGCTCAGTGGATAGAGCGTTGTTGGCCTGTGGACTGAAGGGTCCCAGGTTCGATTTTGGCCAAGGGCACATGCCTGGGTTTCGGGCTTGAACTCCAGTAGGGGGCATGCAGGGGGCAGCCAATCAATGATTCTCTCTCTTCACTGATGTTTCTATCTCTCCCTCTCTCTTCCTCTCTGAAATCAATAAACATGTATTTTTTAAAAAATAAAATTGTATTTTTATTGATTTCAGAGAGGAAGGTAGATGGAGAGAGAGAGAAACATCAATGATGAGAGATGGATCGGCTGCCTCCTGCACACACCCCACTGGGGATCGAGCTCACAACCCAGGTATGTGCCCTGACCGGGAATTGAACCATGACCTCCTGGTTCATAGGTTGATGATACTCAACCACTGAACCACACTTGCAGGCATTGGTTGATTCTTGTATGTGCCCTGACCAGGCATCGAACTGCAACCTTAATGTATCAGGAATGCCCTAACAACTAAACAAACTACCCAGTCATGGCGGAAATGATTAAAAAAAAAAAAAGTCCCTTTGAAATGAGTTCTACTCTCCTGGGATTTTATAAGTACCATTGTTGAGTAACAAATTGGCAACAACCAGAATTTGGTGGCACCCAATATTGAAGAAGGTGTGAGATCAACTCTCCTTTCAAATCAAATTTTTCTGATTTGATAGTTAGATCTGATCCCAGATTATTAGGATAAACAAGAGTACTTGCTTCAAGGAGAAACTAGTCAGCCTTTTCTTTCTTTTTTAAATTATCAGGCTTCTTTAAATATATATATTGATCTCAGAGAGAAGAGAGAGGGAGAGATAGAAACGTCAATTGATGGGAGAATCATTGATTGGCTGCACACCCCCAACTGGGGATCAAGCCTGAAACCAAGGAATCGAACCGTGACCTTCTGGTTCACAGGTCACTGCTTAACCACTGAGCCACGCCAGCTGGGCTAGTCAGCCTTTTCTATCCACCTTTTTCCTCTTTCAAACGAAGGTGAACAGCCAATAAACATTTTCTAACAAGTTTGATTTTTTTCCTTTGTCACATGTGTGGTCATTTCACATTTGCTATGCTAATAGTTCTTTCCCACTAGGGTTGACATTTCACATGACTTGAAATAGCCCCAAATTGTTCCAAATTTAGGCAGAGCTAACTTATATTCTCACATAAGCCACAATTCCCCCAAATGCTCTTTTTTAAATCCTTACCTGAGGATATTTTTCCATTGATTTTTAGAGAGTGGAAGAGAAGGGGAGAGACAGGGAAACATCGATGTGAGAGACACATAGATTGGTTGACTCTCAAATGTGGGGGATTAAGCCTGCAACCCAGATACCTGCCATTGACCTGAATTGAACCCAGGACCCTTCAGCCTATGAGCCAAGCCAAACGCTCCATCCACTGAGCCAAACTGGCTAGGGCACCCGTAGAATATTCTTAAGACTTCTGGCTAGCTCCTTCTGGAATGTTCTATCTGCCAGTAGGGTCAGCTACATAATTTGTGTGGCCTAGTGTGAAATGAAAATGTATGGCCCATTTTCATAAAAGAAGGAAAGAAGTTTGTTCTTTTCTGAAGTTGCTCTCTCAACCTGTCGTGGTTGTTTTTATTTGCTAGTTTTTGTGCTCTCAGGCATGGAAATACTTAAGGGGTAAGTGCAAGCCCTCACAAGTGCCCAGGACTGTGCCCTGAGACAGCATGCATTTCCTAGTCTGGGAAAATGTGACCTAATGGTGGAGAACAGACTAAATCAGACTCAACTAACTTAGTCCTCAGTCTTCTATTGGCTGCATTCTGCTCTACAGCAGTGCCTTGAGACAAAAAAAAAAAAAAATGCCTCAAGGTGCAGCCATCTCAAGGGGAGGGAGGGTTACTGGGTAACAGGAAACTGAGAAGAAAAAAACATTGGTTAGGAGATCAAAATATTATCCCTGTATGCACATCAGTGTCTGAGAACTGTATTAATGATTGAGACCCCAGAGAGTTGATCTACTCTTGGTGAGTTAATAAATCGGGTCTTGAGGTAAGGCTAAGTGCCAGTCGGACTAAGCTCTGAGGCGAGTTGATACCATGGGGATTTCCATGGGTAGCCAGTTTGTCTTGCTATGGTGACTCCATTCTGTCTTCCTGCATACGCTTCTAGAAAGTCATGTACCCTTAACGGTTCAGGGGCCCAAATGGGAGTGATGGTGTGGTTAGTTAGGGAGGGTAGGAGAGGTTGGGCCTCACCCTTTTCCCCTCGCTTCCTTCACACCCCATTTTATTGCATCACAAAATGCCTTTCATCAGGGTCAATTCCAGGCCACTGCCTTAGGAGGGAAAACCCCCAGCCTTCTGTACATTCAGAAAAGGATATTTACCATATGAAGCCAGCCTTGAGGGTGCCTTCATTTAAAGTTCAGAGGTCAACCTGCCCCACTCCATATAAGGCCAGATTTTACAAGAGGGTGTTCCCTACTTCCTCAACTCGCTGGCAGTCCAGCATTAAAAGAAACCAAAACAGGTCCCTCACTTTAGTCAAAGAATTAGAAATGATTCTTTCCTGACTCAGAGGGAGGGGCCCAGTACCCACACACTGGCAACTACATAATACAGAAAAGGAGGGTTGGAGCGGGGCCAGAAAGTACCAGCCTCGTTTGGTGTCCTCTCCAACAGCAGCTGCCCAATGTCTTTAGAGCCCACCTCTTCCCTGGAGAGTTCCCTTCTACTTGAGAGCTGCAGTCACCCTCTGCCTGACCTGGACCATGTTCCTGTGATCTCTTGAGCTTTGTGAAAAAGACGAGTGAGAAAGCTAAGGACCTCTTATTTATCAACATTGCCCTTTTCTTGTCAGCAGCATTTATGTTATTAACCACCTTCCTCTGAAAATCCTTTTCCTTTTTGGATATATTTTCTCTCTTATGATTCATTTGTTTATTCAATCAGCAAACATTCACTGAGCGCCTGTAGTACAACAGGCACAGTATTGGATTCAGGGAACACGAGCGTAAGACACCTGGTCTCTGCCTTCAGGTTTGTCACTCACAAAGGATCTCCCCATTACCTGGCTACTCCACTTCTACTTCTCCCTCTCAGTTCTCAAAGGTGACATCTCCTAAGGCTTTTTCTTTTGGTCTTTTGTCCTTCATGTCTTCATTCCCATAATACCAGTATCACCAGTTACAACAGTCCCTTAAATCCTACCCCCAACCTAAAACTCTCTCCCAACCTTCAAAACTGATTTTCCAATTGACCAGTTATTTCTACCTAGATGTTGCAATAACTCAATTCATAAGGCGCAAAAAAGAAATTTTCCAACTTTCCATCACCCCCACCCCAACCTGCCTCACTCTTCCTCATCACCTTACCCTTCTGACTTCAGTGCTTATACCGATGAAACACTCCTTTCCCAAGTATCCAGGGTAAAAATGTTTGGGGTTTTTTGGACTCCTTACTCATGCCTCTGCCCTTCCACAGCCAATCAATGGTCAACTTCAATCAATTCTACAGCCGTGCTGTGTCCCACAGATGTGTCATTTCCATCCCTACCACCACCCTGGCTGAGTATCTCCTGAACTAACTAGTTCCCTCTCTGGTTTCCATGATTCAGCCTTTCCCTCTTTTTAATCCAGAGCTCCCTGCATGTCTTTTTCTTGGCTGAAAAGTCTTCAGGGGTTCACCATTTTCACCAGAATAAAATGCAGAATCCAAAACCTGACATCCAAGACCTCATTAAAACAGCCCTGTCCTTTCCCACATTTTCTAGTTTTCCTAACTGAGGCCCTGAGCGTCAAAGTGAACCACTATGTTCTCCTTCTTTGTTCAGGCTGTTTGCTCTGCCTAACATGCCTCTCTAACTCCTATTTTCCCTGATCCAAATCAAAGCCCAACCCAAACCTTTCCTATTCTGTGAAGCCTTCTCTTCTCCCCAATAGTTGGGAATTTTTTCTTCTCTAAAGAACCACAGCCCTCAATATATACCTCTCTGAGACCGACATATCCTGGTTTGTCTTACCTCTCATAAATGCACAATTGTAAACTTGAGGACAAGAGCTGATTTCCCACTGCATCTTCCATACTCTAGGAGAGAATCTTATGTAGAGTAGCAACAAAATAAGAGTAGAAAGAGCAAGATCTTAGAATGAGAGGCCCTGGTTACTGGAACCTGAAGAAAGTTTGTCATAAAAATAGATGTTATGCCCTAGCTGGTTTGGCTCAGTGGATAGAGTATCTGTCTGAGGACTGAAAGGTCCCGGGTTTGATTCCAGTCAAGGGCACATGCTGGGATTGCGGGTTTGATCCCCAGTAGGGGGTGTGCAGGAGGTATCCAACAGATGATTCTCTCTCATCATTGACGTTTCCCTCTCTCTCCCTCTCTTCCTCTCTGAAATCAATAAAAAATATATTTTTTAAAAAATAGATGTTATGAGTGGGACTGAGTGGGCACTGAATATCAGGACCTGAATGACAAAGATTTCCATGAGGTATTTTTTTAATTCCATTTTTTAAAATATATATTTTTATTATTTTTATTGATTTTGAGAGAGAGGAGGAGAGAAGAAACATCAATGTGTGAGTGAAACCTCAATCAGCCACCTCCTACATGCCCCTACCAGGCATTGAATCCACAACCCAGGCATTTGCCCTGACCAGGAATTGAACCAGCAAAATTTTGATGCCCAACCAACCAGTCCTGAGCCACACCGGTCAGGACTTCATGAGTTCTTTAAGTAATTTATTATCTTATGTGTTTGTGATATGTGGGGTCCTCTAAAGTATAGCTTCCAGAGTAGGTGATTCTCTTGCTTGGGTCTAAGTATTAGAAGTAACAATCTAGTAAGCAAGGCAAAACAAAGCAGGAAAAAGAGATTTCACTACTTTTTTTTTTTTTGCTGCAAAAAACTTTATTGTTTCATTTGGTCCAATGCATTGGAGAGGGCTCCAGAGTGGTTAAAACAGCGGTCCTCAAACTTTTTAAACAGCGGGCCAGTTCACTGTCCCTCAGACCGTTGGAGGGCCAGACTATAGTTTAAAAAAAAACTATGAACAAATTCCTGTGCACACTGAACATATCTTATTTTGAAGTAAAAAAACAAAACGGGAACAAATACAATATTTGTATTTGCATGTGGCCCACGGGCCACAGTTTGAGGACCCCTGGGTTAAAACAATGGCTAGTAGTTTCAGGAAGAGGCTCAAGTAAAAGCCAACGACAACAGGGGGATGCAGAGGGGCCTCTGTAAGGCCTCTGGGCTCCAAAGGCTACTAGTCGTGCTTGAGGGTGAGCCTTTCGAAGAGATACTCGCCCAGCCCAGCCTGGGGGGCAGCCAGCCTGCGGATGTCAGTCAGGTGGTCGCCCATCTTCTTGATCAGTTTCACCTCCTCATCCAGGAAGTGGTTCTCCAGGAAGTCGCAGAAATGAGGGTCTGCACAGGTAGAACCCAGGGCATGCAGCTCCAAAAGGGCCTGGTTCAGGTTCTTCTCTAAGGCCAGGGCGGCTTCCATGGCATTCTGAGTTTTGCCCCAGACATCTTGGGAAGGTTTCTTCACATCCGGGAAGAGAATGTGGCCGCCACGCTTGTTTTGCAACTTAAAGAGATGCTCAGCGCCCTCACGCTTCTTCTCTGCCAACTCGAGGAAGAAGTGGCCCACACCCTCCAGAGCCACATCATCACGGTCGAAATAGTAGCCCAGAGAGAGGTAGGTGTAGGAGGCCTGCAGATGCAGGTTGGCCAGGCGATTGACCGCAGCCTCCACTTCGGTGGAATAATTCTGATGAATTTGGGAGCTCATGGTTGTTTAGCAATAAGGAATTAAGGTAGAAAAAAACCAGTGTCCTGGAGGTGGTTCTGAAGGCGGTGACTGAATGAGACGCAGGAAAGTGGCTGGAGGCTGGAAGAAGGGGAGTCCCTGGGTCTGTTCTGTCCAAACACTGTTGAAGCAAGAGACAGATCCGGTACCTCTGAGTGCACTGCGACTACTTTTTCTTTTTTGTAGCACTGGTCTAATTTCAAATCTAGAAGCAAAAGCAATTCATAGGAAACTTTTTTATGATTAGAAAAATGATAAAATCTTGTTAGAAAAGTTTGCAAACAAGTTCAGCCAGTGTTGCTAAATGGCTGAGCGTCAACCCATGAGCCAGGAGGTCATGGTTCGATTCCAGGTCAGGGCACATGTCCGGGTTGCAGGCTTGATCCCCAGTAGGGAATGTACAGGAGGTGGTCAATTGATGATTCTCTCTCATCATGGATGTTTCTCTCTCTCTCTCTCTGTCTCTCTGTCTCCCTCTCCCTTCCTCTCTGAAACCAACAAAAACATTTTTTTTTAAAATTGCAAACCAGTGGTGGGGGAGGGTGTTAAGGAATTGGGGGGATTAAGCAAAAAAGAAAAAAAGAGAGAAAGAACTCATGGACATGAACAACAGCGTGGTGATTGGTGGGGTGGGGGCGTGGAAGAGGGCATAGAGGGAATAAATGGTGATGGAGAAAAAGAAGAAAAAAGTTTGCAAACCAATAGCCTGATTATACTTAATGGAGTAATTCTAGAGTTATTCCTTTAAAGTCAAGTCTAGAGCAAGGAACGAATGGGCACTATTTTTAAACATTGTTCTAGAAATTCTAGCCACTAAAGTAAGACAAGAAATAGAAATAAGAGCTCTAGATATTTGAAAGACAAAAGTATCATTATTTGTAGATGATATGCTACTTCACCTAAAAACACAAGAAAATTTTCTGAAAACCACTAGTATAGGCAAATTCATAATTATGCATATCACAATTATAAAATGGTCTTATATAATAAAAGACTAATATTCAAATAGACCGAACAACCGGTCGCTAAGATGTGTGCTGACCACCAAGGGGAGTACGTGAACATGGCAGGCTTCAGCAGCAGAGCATAGAACATGGCAGGCAGCGGCAGCGGCAGGATAGTGGAGCAGGTGAGTGGGGGCGCCAGACCAAGGCGGGGCACTGGTCGCTGTCATTGGGGCAAGCCTCTGGTGGTTGCTGAAAATTCTTTGCTCCCACATGCCGCAGTCCAGCCCAGCGCTTGCACCTACTGCCAGCGCCGGTCCTGCTCACACCCACTGCCGGTGCCCAGCGCCGGTCCCAATTGCTCAGCACCATCAGCAGGTGTGAGCAGCGGCTGCCAGCCCTGATCGTCCCTGAGGGCTTCTCTACCTCCCCCTGCTCCTGAGGGGCGATCGGGGCTGGCAGCTGCCTCTCGCACCCGCTGCCAGCAATGGCCCTGCTGGCACCCACAGCCGGCATCCGGAGCCAGTCCTGATCACTTGGCACCGTCAGCGGGTGCGAGCAGCGGCTGTCAGCCCTAATCGCCCCTCAGGCTGACGGCGTGAAGCAATTGGGGCTGACACCAGCAGTGGGTGGAAGCAGAGCCGGCACCGTCAGCGTGGGAGCAGCAGTGGTGGGAGCGGGGCTGCCAGCGGACAAGGGACTGGGGGTCGTGGCAGGAGGGGCTGGGTGAGGGCGTGGAGGATGAGCTGAGACCCACCCCTGTGTTCACCACAGACTCTTGGCACACAGTTCCTTTCAAGGTGCACGAATTTGTGCACTGGGCCCCTAGTTAGAAAATAAAAAGATTGCCCTAGCTGGTTTGGCTCAATGGATAGAGCGTTGACCTGCGGACTGAAGGGTCCCGGGTTTGATTCCAGTCAAGGGCATATGCCTGGGTTGCGGGCTCAATCCCCAGTGTGGGGCATGCAGGAGGCAACTGATCAATGATTCTCCCTCATCATTGATGTTTCTATCTCTCTCTACCTCTCCCTTCCTCTCTGAAATCAATTTAAAAAATTAAAAAAGGCCAAAACCGGTTTGGCTCAGTGGATAGAGCGTCGGCCTGCGGACTGAGAGGTCCCAGGTTCGATTCCGGTCAAGGGCATGTACCTGGGTTGCAGGCATATCCCCAGTAGGGGATGTGCAGGAGGCAGCTGATCGATGTTTCTCTCTCATCGATGTTTCTAACTCTCTATCTCTCTCCCTTCCTCTCTGTAAAAAATCAGTAAAATATATTTAAAAAAAAAAAAATTAAAAAAGAAAAAGATTTTTCTATATGCCAATAATATATAGCTAAAAAATATGGTAGCCGGGGTGGGTGTGGCTCAGTTGGTTGGAGCACTGTCACTACACCAAAAGATGATGGGTTCAATTCCTGGTCAGGGTACCTACCTCCAGGTGGGTTTGATCCCTGGTCAGGCCATGTGCAGAAGGCAACAGATGGATGTTTCTCGCATCAATGTATTTCTCTCTTTCTAAGCCCTGGCCGGTGCTCAGTGGTTAGAGCATCAGCCAGAAGACCGAAGGGTTACGGGTTCGATTCCCACTCAAGGGCACATACCTTAAATGCAGGCTCTATTCCTGGCCCTGGACAGGGCAGGGCATATGCAGGAGGCAACCAATCAATGTGTCTCTCTCACATCAATGTTTCTCTCTCTCTCTCCCTGTCTAAAAAAATCAATGGAGCCGAAACCGGTTTGGCTCAGTGGATAGAGCGTCAGCCTGCAGACTGAGGGGTCCCAGGTTCGATTCCGGTCAAGGGCATGTACCTGGGTTGCGGGCACATCCCCAGTGGGAGATGTGCAGGAGGCGGCTGATCGATGTTTCTCTCCCATCGATGTTTCTAACTCTCTATCTCTCTCCCTTCCTCTCTGTGAAAAATCAATAAAATATATTTAAAAAAATAAAAATAAAATAAAAATAAATCAATGGAAAGGATATATTCAGGTGAGGATTAAAAATAAAAATAAAATAAATAAGGTAAAATTTATTTAAAATATATAATGGTAAAATAAATTTTAAAACTCTTATATGAGAAACATGCAGAGCCTTTGTGAACAAAACTACCAAACTTTACCTAAAAACCTAAAAGAATTAAGTAGAAAAACATTCTGATTTGCCTGGAAAAACTAAATATTATTTCAGTGTGTGTGTGTGTGTGTGTGTGTGTATGTGTGTTCTCAAAACCACTGAGCAATTTTCTAATTCTCAGTAGACATTGACTGGGTGTCCTACAATTTAACTTAATTCTAATACTATCTACCCCGAGGATCGATGTTTCTCTTATATTGATGTCTCTCTAAAAAAACATATCCTCAGGTGAGGATAGAAAACCAAATTGTGATCACTGTATAAAAATAGAGAAGCCAGGCCCTGGCTGGTGTTTCTAAGTGGTTAGAGTATCAGTCCGTGCACTGAAGGTCTTGGGTTCGATTCCCAATCAAGGGTATATTTCTGGGTTACAGATCAATCACTGGCACCAGTTGGCATGTACACAGGAGGCAACTGATTGATGTGTCTCACATTGATTTCTCTCTCCTCTCTCTCCCCCGCCCCCCTTCCCTTCCACTCTCTCTAAAAATCAATGGAAAAAATATCCACAGGTAAGAATTAACAAAAAGAATAAAGAAGCTAGTCCACAGAATAAAAATTTAAAATCAAATCTATTTATGCATATATAAGGGTTTACAATATGGTTAATGTAAAATTTCTAATTGGTGGGATAAGGACGGTTTATTCAATAATGGATGTTGGACAACTAACCACTTGTAACAAGATTTAGGTTATTTACTTACCTCATACCATGTATCAAAATTAATTCCAGAGAGATTAAATATTTATGTATAAAAATGTCTACCCAGAGAGAACTCTTGATAAATTATTTTATATCTGTAAGATGAAATACTATGAAGTCATTTAAAACAACGAGAAAAATATTTTATGGCATGAAGAGATGAACGCAATACACTGTCAGCTAAAGAGAGCAGGTTACATAATACCATGTATAGTACCATTTTACTAAGAATTTTATGTTAAATGCACATTTGGTTAGAGTAATAACTAGAAAGACACAGGTCAAAAGTTAGCAGTAGCTTTTGGATTTTTTTTTTTTTTTTTAGTTCTTTTTTTCTTTTTTTTTTTTGCTCAATCCTTCTACCCCCAGCAGTAATTTTTTTGAGTGGTAAAAACTATAGGCAATCTATACTTTTTTGCTAATCTGAATTTTTAAAAATATTAAACATTTATTTCTTCTTAAAAAATAAAATGTATTTGCCTGGCTGGCATGGCTCAGTGGTTGAGCATCGACCTAAGAACCAGGAGGTTACAGTTCAATTCCAGGTTAGGGCACATGCCCAGGTCGCAGACTCGATCCCCAGCAGGGGCATGCAGGAAGCAGCCAATCAATGATTCTCTCTCTCGTCATTAATGTTTCTATCGCTCTCTCCCTCTCTGAAATCAATAAAAAAAAGGTTTTTTTAATTAACCAATGAATGCATAAATAAGTTGGACAACAAATCAATATTTTTCTCTCCTTCTCTTCCTCTAAAATCAATACATAAAAATTTTTAAAAGGATAAATTCTACTATGCCCAATTGCAAGGTATATTGTTTTCACTGAGACCTTGTATTTCTTAAGTATTTTACATATTACATTATTGTAATGTTAACGTAAAAACATTCAAACCTGTAAAGAATTTTTGTAAATTTATTTGAGCCAAGCTGCTGGACAGCAGTATCTCAATGGATTGGGGTAATGCTCCAGAGCAGCGGTTCTCAACCTGTGGGTCGGGACCTCTTTGGGGGTCAAAAGACCCTTTCACAGGGGTCAGCTAAGACCATCAGAAAACACATATATAATTACATACTGTTTTTGTGATTAATCACTATGCTTTAATTAGGTTCAATTTGTAACAATGAAATTGGGGGTCACCACAACATGAGGAACTGTATTAAAGGATCGTGGCATTAGGAAGGTTGAGAACCACTGCTCCAGAGAATGGCGTCTTTTTCCATCTATTTTTTTTTTAATATATTTTATTGATTTTTTACAGAGAGGAAGGGAGAGGGGTAGAGAGCTAGAAACATCGATGAGAGAGAAACATCGACCAGCTGCCTCCTGCACACCCTCTACTGGGGATGTGCCCGCAACCAAGGTACATGCCCTTGACCAGAATCGAACCTGGGACCCTTCAGTCTGCAGGCCGATGCTCTATCCACTGAG